TCGCTTCGAGAAAAGAAACAATACGGATCCCAGATAGCTGCAGATTTATACGTTAAATCTAAGATGCGTGGTTTTATTTAGGTTATATATAAGACAAAGCACATGAGGTTGCTTCACAAGAAGAAGCCTTCGCGAGGATTTTTCCAAAAGTAACTGGGTTTTCATTCAAGCTACACAGAGAAAAAAACTATTCATGCAGCCAGCCCGTTTGCCTATTCGGATTCGGGTCGAACTATCAGCGCTCAAAGGTCTTACTCACACGGTCACTGCTATGTCAATGATGGTAGGTGAAAATTTCTGAATAAAATGCGGTTATAGATTTATTAGTACCTCTTTTATTTAAATTTCACCGGAAAACGCCACCGAAAACAAATACTATATCAAATTAAAAAATATTATAAAAGAACAAGCTGTCAATGCATTACCGGTAGCAAAAATTCATATTACTTATCTATGCAAGCTTGAAATACCTTTTAAAATATTAAAAACGTGTAAATAGAAATATTTTCCTTTACCACCTTTATTTATTAGAATATTTCTTTTTATTACTATAGCATTCATAATCTACGGTAAAAAATGTATATCCGCTCACTGCCGTTCACGGATACGAATCAAAAGTGATTCTTGCAAATTATCTAAATAGTTAGAATTTCGTTAGTCTGTAGTTATAGTTTTCGTAAGTTAAACATACATAAAAAATATACCTTTAAAATTATTTCATCACATACCTTGGCAGCTTTTAGTATTAAATAAAATTAAATTTACCTTTTGTGTCTTATTTTCCGTCGTTTAAACCTACGTAAAAATTTCAATTTTCTTTTTAAAAAGAAATTTTCAATAAGAATATTTCGACCAGTATTTAATCCTCAACGAAAACAAAAATAACATCGTCTTGGCGAAACACAGAATTCAAAGTTAATAAAGAAACATGAATTTCTGTTCAAAATATTGGTTTCGAGAATCTGTCTAGTTATTTAAATTAAACTGTTGCAAATTAATTTTATAGATGTTGCAAATTCATTCATAGACGTTGCAAAGTGTTTTTAGATGATAGGTTGTTTCATCATAATTTGAAAATATTATAAGGTCTGGTTTGGTTTATGTCATGATGGTAAAGCACTCGAGGGTTATCTGCCTAAGGGAACGGATGCCTTCATGGAGGACTATGTAAGAGAAATGGCTCGCACACATGTTACAAATGGGAAAAACCATAATGCAGCCAGCCCGTTTGCCGAGGTTCAAACGCCGGACTGAACTATCAGTGTTCAGCGACTTCGCCGCTCGGCCAAATTACATGCACTATTTGCTTAAATCACAGGCACAGTTTCGCACATTCTCTAACAGCATTTAGTTCACATTTATATATACACATGGGAAATGAAATGGATTTTTGTGCAATAAAGCGAAACGAGTACGAAATTAAAACACTTTATAGTCAATGCGGGCTTGCCGAATGCGATGGGTAGCTAGACTTTAATTAAAACAAGGTCCATTAAGTCTACATTCCAAGAGATGAATGCCGCTATTCGAACTTGGATAAACCTATGCTGTTAGATATCTTACCTGCTTGGTCCCTGATGCGCGCTGAGGAGATCTGGAATAGGCTATATATGTGGTTGGGTAAGTAGCGCTTCTAAATCAGAGTAAAAAAATTTGGTCGCCTAAACAAAACTTCATTTCCTAATTTTTAAAATCATAAACATGCTTTTTTTTAAGAATTGAATCAAACCATGTTAAACAAGTTTTCATACCAGCTAATTCAATTTTTATGTATGTAAAGTTCATTTCAAGCAAGAGGACGAAAGATAAGTAAAAATCATTGAAATTATAGACTTCCTTCAGAAACAAATAACACAATTTAGTTTATATTCATTAGTTTATAATACAGAATTTTCAGCCGTCATCCCCCCAAAAAAACATAAATGAAAATTAAAGGGGACGACTGAATTTTCTGTGTGATTTCACGTATATCGTGAATCTATATTAGTGACAATATTTTAATAACATGAAGAACAAACAGCCTGCGATAACCGAACGTGGATATTTATATTGACGGTATACAAGGTGATGAGACATATAAAAAAGATTTCCATGACATAATTTTGAAATTGTGTTTTGAAAGAGGAAAAATCTAAAGTCATTTTTCAGAATTTTAAATAGATATGCAGTATTTACCAAAGCCTAATAAATAAATGAGGAAGGAAGTTTAATTTTAAATAGATAGGCTTTAGAAAATACTGCATAATAAATAAAGTTTAATTTTTGTAAGAATACCTTTTAATGAATGAGAGTTAACTGATAAAAGTATTCAATAGCAATGATTTAGAATATACATAACTCCTATAAAATTAAACATCTGCCTGATGATAAACTGAAACTGAGTGAAATGGAACGAGAATTTTCTCAGTTTTGAAACAAATAAACACTTAAATCCGTAACATTAATAATAACTGAATTATAGTTACAGGAACAAATGCAGCAGTAAAATATGTATTTCGATAATGCACACAATGAAATTTCGGCTAATCTTTAGAATATGCTAACAGGTAGTTTGGCGACATTTTCGTAAGGCGATAAAGGTTACTAGCTAGGACTTCAGCAATAATCTGAGAAGTACACAGTTCGAATCACAGATTATTTTGTCTCAGAGAAATGAGAGATTGAGACATGTAATGTGACATTTTCCGGAAAATTCTGATCGTGATTTTAGCTAATAAGCACTTAGAAACAATTTCGCTGCTAAAGTGCAGAATCGCCCACTTATTTGTTTGGCGCTTTTTACAAAAGTAAGAATTGGATTTTTGTCTATTTTCTTTGACTTTTTAAGTGGAAATAGTTCGATGTGTACATAGATAATGTCAAGAGTGTGCGCAATGCCATTTTTGTGCAATTCTGGGATTTTTTTTTTAAGGGAAAATAGGTCGACGTGTACATGGATACCTTGTATGTGCAATTCTTAAAAACGCGGCAAGTAGGCACTCTCAATTTCGCACCTAATCTTCGTCATAATTAAGCACTTTGTTCTAGTATAAGCGTAATTCGGCTAGCAGATTGTTGGAAAAAATGTTGAGAAAAAAAAAAAGCCTTTACTTCGTGAAAACAAAATGGCGTCCAAACAAAACTAGCAGGTTGCTGTAGCAGGGTTGGTCGCGAAATTTTCGCCAAAAAATCGCCAAGTTACCGTAATGTAAAGATTCACCGAAATTTCTCTAAGGGAGCACTTCAGAAATGACCAGCACTAAAATGGGCACAAATAAACATCGAAAAAAAAAAGGGGGGGGCACAAATAAACATCGAAAAAAAAAAACATCACCAAATATCTTACTCTCTAAGACTACCACTTCCACAGAAGACGACATAATCATAGTTTTGGGCAGTTACAACCTGTAACAGACTTCACCAATTTACATGTAACTATTTGTCACTCATTTATATCAATACTTTATGTATGGTATGTATGGTGTTTGCAATAATCGTATTTGGCTTCTCCGCTTCGACCTCCCCCACTGTCGTCAGTTTAAATTCGTCCCAGATTCCTTTGGAAAATTTCGGTCACTTTTATGCATCCTAATATGGTAAAAATGGTATCTCCAGGTAAAAATGTCACATGGAAAGTCCCTAGCATACTCAGTGCAAGATATAAATTCTAAGGCCAGCTTTTTTTTTTTTTTTTTTTTTTTTTTTTTTTTTTTTTCTCTCTCTCTCTCTCTCTTATGCAAGAACTAAGAACCCCTTCTTAGCTTCTTCTCCTTAAAATCTGTCTTTTAATTTCCAAAATTTATGTGACAGATTTAATAGTTCTTAAAATCTTGTTCTGCATTAGCAAAGATAGCGTTTAATTTTTCCTCCTATCAGGCGGAAGATATCGCTTTCCCTAAAATAACTCGTTCAAATTCCGACTTTACGGTATTTCGATTGCGAAACGCAGATATGATCTGACAAACACAGCATTACCAATGCATATAATTTTGAAGTCAGCATTTTCTAGAATGCAATTTCTAAGGTATACATGATTAAACTAGACTTAAGCAAGAGCAAAAGAAATATAGACGTATGTATTTACTTTCCTTTTCCCAGTATTGCCGTGTGTAAATAAGAAAGTTAAACTCGTAAATAATATCTTAAATCAAAATTTTCGCCGGTGAGCAGGTAATACCTACTTCAGTTACATAGTATTGCAACAATTATATATATTTAATACATATTAAACTATTAACGCATAAAAGTTTTCTTTTTTGATTCAAAAAATCTTATAAATTATATTTAAGGCTCTCAATAAAAACATTCACTGAATAGAATATAACTTAATATAAAATTAAGAAATAACTAATAAGATAGTTATTAGACTTAATAGAAAGTTAAGAAATAACTCATAATAAAATAAGAAATAACTAATAACGACTTAATAGAAAAAATACACTGACTTATAACGTTAGTTTTACATTTAAATTTTTCAGTGTTCTGCTTAGCATCTTTCCTAGTATATTGTGCTACGTTATATTTTTTCATTGGAAAATGAATTGTTAAATTACGCAATTATGGTGACTGGGAAAGATAAGTAATGTTTTTCGAAAACAGGCAGCATATTTAGACAGCACCGCCCTGGGATGCGGTATGTTTTTACGTAATTAAAAGTCTCATACACATATATTCCATTTAATGTCACTGTACTATTACAATTACCAATTTTATTTCAAATATATTAACTGCTTTTGCATTATAAATGATTTAATTTTAAGCACGTTCAAAAGCTTTTTTAATTTAATTTTTATCATTATTTGTGACTATCCGCATTTTGCCACTTAGAATATAATCTTCTTACTACTTCACGGTAATAATTTCTGGTAATAAATTCAGTTGCAAACGAATATATTTTTCGTGAAAATACTCCGAGTAATCCAGTCTCCAAAGCTGTAATATTTCAGAACCCATAATCCGCTATCGGGTGTGTTATCATCCGTTAGATTCATATAACAGACGTAAAAAAGTAATAATCCTACCTTGCTGTGTGCTTCAGCAGCTAATCCTGACTTTGTAGCTCTATAATCGGCCATTGTAAGTCAACAACACAGTAAAAAATTCAACGCAAAAGAAGCAAATTCTTCAAGAAACGACTTAACTCAAGAGCACACTGCACTCCAACCGGCGGAAAGCGGACAGCAACTGAGCGGGAAGAGAATCGACCGGCGTCGAATTTACCACCAGGGGTCTCTGCTGACGATGCCAAAGAGCAGGTGGGCGAGGGTGCCGTCTCCTGCGCCGCCTGCCATAACGGGTGCGGCACAGTTTTGCATGGATGTGACCTTTTTCTCTGAATCACTGACCAAGGACTGTGATGTTTCGTTATTGCACCTAATAGTGGTGTTCACCATTCATGGTTCTGTGGTTGGAAGGTTAACGCATACGAAACGGTGCGAGTTATTACGTATGTAAACGCAAAACCGGTAAGGCAAATGAAATGTATTTATCGGTCGCGATGATGCTTTTAACATCATTAGCACAGAATATTAAAATCCAGCTGCAAAGACCACTCGGGCAAGAAATTAATTCATCTCCGGCTAGATTAGTGATGCGACCTGATTCAGTCAACAAATGATGGGATATCAAATTAAGAATACTTATTCACACTTCTGCAATATCGTTTTTACAGCTTCTTGACTCTTGGCACCAAAACTGGTTGGTCATTTAAGCAGCAAAACTTGGGCATTTTGATATTAAGTAAAATCTAATCGACGTGTAACAAAGCATAACTAAAAAACTTTTTTTTTTTTTTTTTTTTTTTTAGCCCAAAAGGGCGTTAGCCCAGAAGACCTATTACTTTCGTTTTGCCATTTTGCTTGACACTTCAAATACTAGAGCCCTGTATTATATTTAAAGCAAATTTGGAATTTATTTTATTATCTATTTCATATTTTGTAAAGCATTTATGAGTTTTTTATTAAGAAACTCAAAGATTTCAAAGCGAGTAATAACAACATTGTACGATGGGGAAAAAAAAAAAACTCTAGCGCGCGAGACTGTGTGTACCGGAAATTCTAAACATGTGCTCTTTTAAAATTATTTTGGAATATTGCTGTTGAATTGAATTTTATGATTTAAGTTCGAAGAACATGATATTTAAGAAATAAAGGTAACACACAAAGCGTTAAAAACACCTCTCTGGGCGTAATATAAAATCTAAAGGCTTTCAGAAATTTTTTTTTGGGGGGCAGATTAGTTTTCTCCCCTCTTTTCCTTCAGTTATAAATGTTAACATCACTATGGTGATGGGTACATTAATAAAAATTTTTATTTAGACCTGTGTATTTCAGTGCAAAAACTTGAATCAAAATTTTATTAAAAGTGTCTATTTAGTAAATTGACCAAAAAAAAAAAAAAATCTGAAACATTTCAGAATTTACATTACGCCCAAAGTGGCATTTCTTAACCTTTTGTGTGTTATCATTAATTATTAAATATCATGTTCTTCGCACATAAACCATAAAACAGCAATATCGCAAAAAAAAAAAAAAAAAGTTAAATGAGTATTTCTTTAGAATTTCCGATACACAGTCTCGCACGCTGGGAATAAAAATGTTATTTTTTTTTTTCGTACAATTTTGCCATTGCTCGCTTTTAAATCGTTGAGTTTGTTAATCAAAAATTCGTTAAAATTTCACAAAATATGAAATAGATAATAAAACAAATTCTGAATTCTAAATTTGGGATTTCAGATGCCCATATTCGGGTGGAACGTACATCATTCAAAATTTGATGTCTAGGTCCCGTTGTTTTATCACATACCTCACACAAAAACATTCATACACTTATGCAGTTTCTTCATTACTTAATTTCTTTAAATATAATACAGAGAGCTCTAATATTTGGTGGCAACAATTCGAAAAGTGAACCGACACTTATAGTGAATCAGCGCAAAATGCCAAAACGAAATTAATAGCCCTTCTGGGCAAATTGCCTCTTTGGAGTAATAAGCATGGTTATTTAAAAAATTGAAAGTTATGTTGCCTCACTTTAAAACCAAACCTGACCAGCCGATAAATAGAATAAATAACATGGAATCTTTATTTAAATCAATCTGCTTTAAATACCGAAGCATTTGGTTAGGCTAGGTTATCTAATTATGGCAATGCATGCCATAAGGCTATTTCCCTAACAGAAGGAATGCCTTCGTGGAGGAATTTGTAAATGAAACTACCTCGCATTCACGTTTACGCATGGAAAAACTAACCATACATAAAAGTCGATTATCCGGTCCTCACCTCATTAGTAGAGGTATCACCGGAGGAAAAAAAAAGCTATTCAGACTATTCGCCTGAGTCCGAGCCCGGGTCCAGCTACCAGTATTCAGCAGTTCAAACCACTCGGCTACCGGTGGCGCCTAATGCCGTTGCCAGATAACCGAATGTCGTTAGTACAACAGCTTGCAGAAGAATTTTGTCCCGAAAGTTTCAGAGCTGGGTTAAATGGTTAAATAATTGAATTAATTTTGTCAATATTTTCAGTTTGTCTTTAATATTTAACAAATACCATATAATTTTATCCTAAATATGAAATTCTATTTAATTTTATTTAGTTTTATTCTAAATAAGAGATTTCTGAATAAAAAATTCTTTATTCTAATTAATTTAAGCAATTTCCCTCCCCATGAAGATGCAAGTCTAAGAAATTTTTGCGTTTCATATAATTTTCTTTAATTTTTTTCTCTCCTTGTAATATAAATTCTACTTTGAATTTCGTATTAGAATGAATTTGGGTCTTATAAAACTTAGCACTTTCATTTCTGAGCACCGGATGCTAATATGTACACTTTTATTTTAGTGCAGTTTTAATAATTAACAAAATGTTAATCAATTAAGCTCAAGTGAGCGCATGAAGTACCGAAATTCCCTTTCCGCTCTATCAGGGAACTGAACTATTCAGTAAATCTAAGTTTCCTGAAATAGAATTAAATACTGAATCATTGATATAAGTAGTTGAATCCGAGAGAAATAGTTTAATTACTGGAACGCTTCGAATCCAAAAAATTGATAAAATATGAGGATGATCAGAAAGAAATGCACGATTTTTGGCTTACCAAATTTCAAGGATTTAGAAGTGTTTTAAAGTGATATTGTTGTCTACAGATTATTATAATCTTGATACTGTGTCTTTTATTTCCCAACTCCAGCGAAATAATATTAAGTTTTTTATACGTAAATGATAAACGATGAGCTTATGTTCTTCTTATCATACTTAATATGAGTCCTGATGAAAACATGGTGAAAAAGCCAGTCGAAAATCCATCCCCCCCCTTTCTTCCTTCTATATATACAAGTGCTATGCAGAAAATAGTGTCATGGCAAAGGTTGCTTAAGATATGGATGTTTGTAAATGTTGGTGCGTCATGGCGGCATTCTAAATATGCGGCGAGGCAAAAGTTCTCTCGAGTTGTTTGGTGGAAGGGAAGAGGGGTGGAAGACCCCTGGATTTCCCCTACGGTGTGCTTTCCGTCATTGGGGTGGAAAAACAGAGAGAAGTTTTCACTGCAAAAAGAAGTCCAACCTCTTCCACTCCTACTCCAAAGAGAAGGCCAACCTCTTCCACTCCTACTCCAAAGAGAAGTCCAACATCTTCCACTCCTACTCCAAAGAGAAGTCCAACCTCTTCCGTTCCTACTCCAAAGAGAAGTTCAAGCTCTTCCGCTCCAACTCCAAAGAGAAGTCCAACATCTTCCACTCCTACCCCAAAGAGAAGACCAACCTCTTCCACTTCTACTCCAAAGAGAAGGCCAACCTCTTCCACTCCTATTCCAAAGAGAAGTCCAACCTCTCTTTGAAGTAGGCTGTGGCAACCATTGTTCCATGTAATATGGACAAGAGAACAACAACATAGAATTGGACATTTTAGTATTTCGTCACGTGATTACTTGCGCTACTCGTACTCTACCTAGATTTCATGCCTCCAGTGTAATTGATTACACTTGAGAATTGCTTGCCATAAAAAGAATTGCTTATTCCAATTATTGCCATCAACGAAGAAATTTTTCCGTTTTATTCGGAACTTTCACGCACTCAATCGACAGCCCTAGTCGAAGACGAGATTTAGGGAAGTTAAGCGCCGAAAGATCGAAGATTTCTCCTACGAACGCTGATCTATTGATCCACTGACTATCCATCATGAAAGAAATTCGCGACAGATTATGCGTGAAATCGAGAAAGACAACTCGCAACCAGCAGAGGTAGTCATATCTCAACTGTCGGCTAATATTGTTACGAATTTTGTACATATATAAATGATTTTAGTGCAATTACATGTGAAATTGTTGTATTTTTCTGTGTAATGTAACATGAAACATGAAACATCGAGAGAGAGAAGCTATGCCGGAAGAGTAAGAATATAGGGGCAAGTGTTTTTTAACGTTGAGTGAATGGGTGTCTCAGTAATTTGGCGAGATAGCTGCAAGCTGGCAACGGTTTTGACGACTAATTTTTGTCGCCAAATTTGGAAAGAAAAAGCCAAAAGTCGCCAAAGTAAAAAAACGAAATTCGGTCAACGAGTAGGGAGACAAAAATTCCGGCCCACAAAACTTTCAGTCCCAATGGGGAAAAAGACGCTAAAGGAGACGCACCAACTGACTTAACTCACTATTCTACTAAGAGTTTGAAAGTAAACAAATGGCGCCCTCGTTAGAGGCTCTAGCACCGCTTAAAACTTTAAATTGTAGATATATCTTCAACTATTGCGTGCAGATTAACTAAAGGCAAAAAAAACTCAACCGGAGCATAAAAACTAATTATTCAATTTTTTCCCCCAATGGCAGATTGTGAACAGTTACAAATGTAACCCAGTCCATTAATCTATACAAGGCCGGATGTGGTGGTCTCTATATTATGGAGGCACCTAATAGGTAGGCCACTATCGCCTTTCCTATGAAGGGACGGACAGACAGAGGACCAGTATATAAGAGTAAAAACATAGAGCTCAACGAACCGGATAATAGAGTGGGTATAAAGTGTATATGTTTCGTGCGTCTGATTTCAACAAAAAAAGGAGATGCACAACTACGTGATACAGTAGTCCCATACACAAAATTTCAATATTCTGCGACTTATTGTTTTTGAGTTATGCGAGATACATACATACGTACGAACAGACATCACAAAAAAAATTCCCTTCTAAATCCATTTTAAATACATCCTAAAATCTGTTTTGGAAAAAAGAGTCTTTTATTCTGTCCATTTGTACAGACGTTAGGCAAAAAAAACCGTTTAAATGGATTCGAG